AATAATATAAAAATAAGTAGTGAAAGAGCAAATATAAAGATAGGAGACGATAGGGATAGGGGCGTCAAATTCTATATAAATAAGTAGACCACAATTGATTTCGAAGACGCAATCAACATCTTTAAAGACAGTACAACTGTAGGGACAGATATACAGGGGCAATAGATTAGTATGTTTAGATTTGCAGATGATATGACAGTATTAGCATCTAGCAAGGAAGAGTTAGAGATGGATTTAAATAAGATGGAAGCGGTATTGATAAAACTCGTATGCAAAGAAAGAAAATGTAGGGAAAGGGCGAATATAAAGATAGGAAACGAAAAAGTAGAAGAAGTGGCCGATTATAGGAATCTAGGACGTCAGATATGTCAGGATGGAAGGAGTAGTAGGGATACAAAGCAGAGGATAGCGCAGGGTCGACTCGCCCTCAATAAAAAGAAATCACTTCTATGCTCGCGAACGGTTAATTTAGAAATTCGAAAAAAGTTGTTAAAGTTGTATGTTTAGAGCACGGTGCTGTACGAGTGCGAAACATGAACGGTGAGCGCTGCGGAGAAGAAAAGATTAGAAATGTGGTGTTATCGGCGAATGATGAGGATACCGTGGATAGAAAATGTTAGAAATGAAGAAGTATTAGAAAGAATAGGAGAACAGAGGACTCTATGGAAGTCAATAAGAAACAGGCAAGATAGGTTAGTGTTTGTTGTGAGAAAATAAATTTTAATTGAAAGAGTTCTTTCTGGTATTCTCACTTTACACGCCAAATTAATTGCGAGCAAACTGTTTTATGTAAATGATAACGATTGTTGTTTTAAATATTTAATAGTCAACACTTAACTTAACTTACACGTAGAATTAAAATAAACTAAATGAATAAANACTTTACACGCCAAATTAATTGCGAGCAAACTAATTTATGTAAATGATAACGATTGTTGTTTTAAATATTTAATAGTCAACACTTAACTTAACTTACACGTAGAATTAAAATAAACTAAATGAATAAAATTAAATGTAAAAGTATAAAGCAGGCTCTATGATTGAATGTGAATGTGAATTGATTGTTGCTTTGTTGATACTGTTATCGATACTGTTTCGACACTGCTTTCGATACTGTTTTAAAATGTGTATTATTAATTACTTAAATAGTTTCGCCAGTGGGCGTTAACAATAACATTGAGGGTGCAAGACGACCCTGCCAGTCAGGTCAATACCCCATTTTAGGTACAGACAAAATACGTGAATTTAAATTTGGAAATTACAGTAATATAGCGAACGTGACTTTACAAAGGAAGAAATGTTACAATAAGATAGTAGAATACATTATAAATGTTATAGAATACTGAAATTACTGTTTGCCTTTGATAAATAATATACCTGATATAGCTAAATAATAAAATGAATAATAGAATTGAATTTGTATACAAATAGAAAATAATACTTAAAATTACCGACAATAATAAAATTAGTATGCAAAATAAAATAAACCTATAGTATTGTAAAGATGCAACAGTTAGTAGAACACCTTCTCAAGCATGAAGATCTAGTCAGAGACATATTAGAGGCAAAAACGGAAGTTAGGAGGGGTAAAGGTAGATCTAGATTAGATTACTGTTCGCAAATAGTTAAGGATTTAGGGAAATGAGAAGATTAGCGCAGGATAGGAAAGAGTGGAGGTGCGTGTCCAGCCAGTCTTGGGACTGATGACCTTATGATGATTTCTTCGTCCTGGACCTATGCAAGGGTTTTTTACTGCTGAATATTTTGTTCATTTGTTGTGTCAAGTTACAACTTTATATTACACGTTATTTATCGTTTTCGCATAAAAATATATGAAACCATAAACCATTTATTGTTGCTTGGGTCATTTCGAAAAAGACTGGGGAAGTAATATTTCCTCGGTTAATATTTCACTTCATCTTTATTTTTTATATGCATAGTGTTTTCCCTTGGAAATTATTATAATCAAATTGTTTTTAAATTCATTTAAAAATTCTTATTAAATAAATCATTTGTTTAATTCAATTATGCTTGTTAAAAATGCCATTAAATTGCTTTCTGTGTTTCGATACACGTGTTCTGGGAGTCGTAAACCGATATAATTTTAATTTAAGGATGCGTTTTGGAGCGCCACATTCGACAATTTTTTCACCGAAAGTTATTTCTTCCTGAAAGCGTTTACGTAAACCTATTTTTTTATCGCCCAGCATATTTCCACTCATAATTTTCTATTTATGTGGACACTTCATATATTTATGTGGTTTTTCTGTTTCGGGGCGAAAAGTTACGACAAGCAGCTGCTGAACAACGGCGTGTTCCCGTTCAGTTGAAGGAATTCGAACATTTTATTATATTTACCCTGGAAATTATTAAAATGGGCATATCATTTTATGACAGCCTTTCCGAGAGGTCCGAATGTATCTTCACTATTTCTTAACCAGCTGTCTGTTCTGTACACGAATCTATTATTAGTGAAAATATCTATTATTAGTCTAAAACTAGTACCAAAAACTCATTGCACTGGACGAGAAACGAAACCGGACCGCTTTTATTAAAAAAAGAAAACGTCAGTCCTCTGCTTTAAGGCAAGTGTGGACAGCGTCGCAATCAATGAACTTTTTGGATGTTTTTGAGTTTTCCCAGCATGTAAGTTAGAGATGCACCGAATAGTGATTTTACCGGTTACCGAATCACAGAATACCCGACAAAAGCGTTACAGTTAATGGTTCATGTCTTCGTTCAGACGAAAACATTGATGAAGTAAAAAAAAATCGGTTGTCTGTAAAGTCGGTTTACTGACGATAATTGAACGTGACAACGTCATAAGAAAATACTGATGGAATGGTTTCATTTTTCAAAAGAAAATTTTAATTTTATTTGTTTGATAGATATTTTGTATGGATATAGAGAAGGAGGTAAATGGAAATGTATTATTGTATAGCAGCTGTCCACGCGGACGCATCGCTCACTCAAGTAGAAGAGAGACAGATGTCGAACGCTGCCGAACGCGGAAGCCGATTGTGCCTCTTTGTCGCTCGTTCCGCGCTCTCGCTTGCACTTCAAGCCTTAAATGGAACGCCTCAGAGCGAGGTAACGCCGCATGAGTCATGTTTTTTCGTGCGTGCAGCCGGCTCCATCGAATTATAAGACGTTGTCACGTCAAAAAACGATTTGGCCAATCGTCAAATCACCGTTAGAGAAGCTGCCAAGGACCTAAACATATCGATTGGCTCCTGCCATTCGATTTTACCAATGATTTGGGCATGAGACGGGTCGCCGCGAAATTCGTACCCAAATTGCTCAATTTCGACCAAAAGCAGCATCGCATTAACATTTCTAATGAGCTGTTGGACTCTGTCTGCGATGACCCAAATTTGCTCCAGAGGGTCATAACTGGTGACGAATCATGGGTTTATGGTTATTACGTGAAAACCAAAGCTCAATCATCCCAATGGAAGCTGCTGTACGATCCAAGACAGAAGCGCGCCAAGTTATGTCGAATGTGAAGGTTTTGCATACAGTTTTCGTCTATAGCAGGTGCTTGGTGTATCATGAGTTCTTGCCACATGGTTGAACGGTCAATAAGGAATATTATCTGCAAATTATGCCCAATTTGAACGAAGCAGTCCGTTAGAAAGGCCCGGATTAGTGGAAGAACAAAAATTGGCTTTTACATAATGATAACACCCTTGCTCAAACATCGTTGCTTGTGCGCGTTTTTTTTGCCAAAAACAACAGACTTATAATGCCGCAGTCACCGTATTCCCCAGATTTGCCCCCCTGTAACCTTTTCTTGTTTCCGAAACTGAAGATGCCCATGAAAGGACAACGCTACTCTACGATCGAAGGAGGAGTTGAACAGGATCACAAAAAATTATTTTTTGAAGTGCTTCGGGAAGTGGAAAAACGTTGACAGAAGTGTAAAATATCTGGTGGGGGTTACTTTAAAGGGGACAAAATAGATATTCATTATTCATGAATAATTAATTAATTTATGAAAAAACAAAATACGCGATACTTTTTGAACAGACCTCATATATGGTTAATATTAGTAACATTGTTGTGAGATTGCCTGAGAGTTGGTTGTCACCATGTTTAGCTGCATGTCTATTAATTGTATCAGTACGTTTTACGTTACTTGATATTGAATTCAGGGTTGATTTTAATTGTTATTCCAAAGAGTGCGTCATTATACTCTTGCAAAATTGTCATTATTCTATTTCAATCAGCTGTGTCACGTAATGATCTGGGTAATTTGTTGTAACGTACCGAAACGATCTCGTATAATATAACGTACTGGGAAATTTGCGCCGCGTTACAAGGCGGCCCCGGAGAAGGGGGTTGGATTCGAGCAAGAGGTGGGTGTCGTTGGGGGTGGCGGCGGCTCGATGGGACCGATTGCCACGCGACCCGTGTAACAGAGCGGAACTAAACTAAATTGAGATCGTATTAGAGACGGAGAGGTCTTATTGCGCATATAATAGACGCTGTTTGTGCAGTTTAACCACTTCCCGAAGATAGGAGCACGAATTAGCATTTTAGGCGAGCCGTCGACGACGT